AAAAATTGCACAAAATTTTCAAGCCGCTCCTTAAAGTCGATTAACTATGCAAGAAGGATATGAGTGCCTCCAACTAGGGTTTATAACAATCTCACATCATTAAAACAGAACTTATCCTGTTTCATAAACAACGAATATTTTATATAAAAGATTTTATGAAATTAGAAATTTTAGTACAACTATTTTATATGCAATTTATATCGTTACACTCATAAACATGCACCTAAAGGCATATAGATAATTTTATTACTGCACATACATATCAGACGATCGCCCTCAATAAAAAGTATTTACTTTATTAACACTTAATAAGCATACTTATGTACTTAATCATGACTCACTTGCATAAATATTCATATATTGACATACAAATTGACTTATAAATGTTTATACTCGTACATATCGATTTGCAGCATGTTTTCTTTATTATTATAAACGTACTACTTACATACATATATATGCTTACATGTATAAAAATAAATCTACATAGTAAATTTGTTTTCATAAATTTTTCTTATATTTTTTATGCATACATATTCATATATATATTTTTTTTTTTTACTTTTAAAATTAAAAATGTTTTACATATTCATATAAGTATTTTAAACATACCAAAACTTACATAAAAAAATTTTTATAACTCAATGTCACTTACTATCTCTTTTTCTCTATTTTCTTTATCTCTATTTCTCTCTCTTTCTCTTTTTCTTGCTGTCTCTCTTTTTTTATTCATTCTTCTGTGCTGTTTTTGAAACAAAAAATTCTGTATGTGTATTTTTGTAATTAAATGTTTCATACTAACTTTAAATGTGTATTTGTGTGCGCGCCATTAATTATGGCAGTTATGGTTTTTTGTTAAATCATTTATGTTTGTACATAAAAAAAGTGCAAGTAAACGGCAGAAAAACACAAATTAAAGTTATGACATAAAAGAGACAAATCGCATTTGCATTCAAGTTTGTAATGAGTAAGCAAGAATGTTGTCGACACACACTAACTAGCCTTAACAGCAACAACACCGAAACAACAAAGAAACAAGCAAACAAAAAACATCCAACCAGGCTTACAACTACAACAACAACTAGCCAACATCTGGTCTGACTTAACATGAATCCATATTGAAATACGAAGTGAGTGCTGTAACGATTCCACCCACATTCAACCAAGAGGCTACACAACAATTCAGCGATTTGCACTCCAAAAGCGAATACATTTGTAACTTTGTGCGTTCGTTTTTCTTTACCGAATTATTACTTATGTACTTATGTGTACTAACTTAGCCGTATACTTGTGTAACTATCCATACTTTATGTACTCTATGTTTGACTTTATGTAGTCGCAATTGATTGCGCCTGTTAGGATGTCCTACGTTCATATTTTTATCAATATTTACATTCAAGCAATATGTTTTTTGTAATATCACAAAGTAAACTTCTATAATGCCGAGTTTGCACGTGGCATTCAATGACAAAATTCACCAAAAAAAGGCAATGGCACTTAAAGCGAATGTTATATGGAAACTGATGATTGCAGTACTTGTTGGAAGTCAACGGGGAAGAAGGACTGAAATTTTGTCAATACAATGCCTAGTGAAAATTCGGCTTAACCAAATATGGAAATTTTCTAAGGTTAGCATCGAGAAAATTCTGTCTTTAATTTTTACTTTTACTTATTTGTCTGTTAGTGATAATTTTTCGCAAAGGTCAAGATTAAACAAACATCCTTCTTTTCCAAATTAATAAATAAAGTTAATCGGTAAACACTATATCTATGAAACTTAAACTCTATTCGCAATACACTTAATTTCGTTTGAATTACGCTAGTTAGGTAAATTGCGTTCAATTCTGTGCTGACGTTGCATACTTTTAGGCACAAAATAATCAAGTGATGAATGAGCCTCATAATAGGCCTGGATACTCCATTACATTTCACGCATTCTATTGTATAACGTTAATGTAGATGAAAGTTCTTCAACACAGAAAATCAGCCACGTAATGGTCTTTTAAGTTTGACAGGGGGAATAGGGCAGGGGCATTGAAATTTTTTGTGTAATGTACATAGTTTCCCAAACTAATTTTTTTGTAAAAACCTAAAAAAAATTTAAAAAGCTTCTTATGCTGGATTTCTACTAGGCGTAAAAAGGCACAAATGCCAAATCACAAAGTCGGACATTAACCAATAATCGTGTTAGTATGTACTTTAAAAAATTGTCATTAAGTTCATTTCCACATGTCATTTTTTAATTGGCATACATTTTTTGTAATTTCAATGCCTAGTGGAAATTCGATAATACGCAGCCCATATTTTGGTCGTGGCTGTGTTTTTAAACGATAACCACGTAGAGCTTTTACGCCGAATGCGTGCATATAAAATTGTATTTCAACGATAAGCAGAGAGAGCTTTTACGCTGAAGGCGTACATATAAAATTTAATTTAAATTTTAAAAAGCTTTTCCCACTGCATATATGTATGTATGTATTTCGATCGCGACTGCTGTATTTTAGCTGTAAGAGTGTTCGTATGTTATGGGAAGCTTAAAGCTCTGTATAAAATATACGTAAAGCTTTAAATAGCTTCTACTGTGGCATAGGTTTTCTTCGTGACTGATTTCGATAATTTAGGAAGAAAGATCGCAGTTGCTAAATCGTGTACATACATGTGTGAGCGACGACCAGAGAGTGCTTTCACTCAATGCGCGGTATTTGCTCACCAAGTTTAATAACTGATTTCTGCTCCAGCTCTTCTGCATTCTTATAATTTTTGCAGCCAAAGCGCCACTGTTTTAAAAAAAGGGGGTTCGTGTTGTTGCTAATATGGTAAGCTGGATTGCTGCTCGTAAGTGGTTTGCGTGCTCAATGGAATTTCGTGAAGAGAGCAGAATTCAATACGGTCATGATTCAAAGATAATTTGAGTGCAAGCAGGAAATTTTTGGCTTTAAAAATAGGAAAATTTTAAAATAAAATGATAGATGCATACATAATTTTTCTCTACTACAATAAATTTGTTGTGCAATTATTTACTCTTAAGAATTTCCTTGTGTAATATAAATTTGTTAAGAAAAATTATAATTGTTAAATTATTTATTGTTAATTCTTAGGAACTTTAAATTGTTAATTAGTTTTTATTACAAAAATATTGATGCATTATTATATTTGTTAGAACAAAACAAAAACAAATTTATTTAAAAATAGAAAATAAATAATCATATATATTATTTTGAAAATAACTGTTACAGTCCCCCACTGAACAAAGAGTTTTTTCAAAGAAACTATTCACTTATTTAGTTTCTAACTTTTGCTTTAGTTGTTACTGAAAAATTTGCACCTACTTTCTGGTGAAAGATTTGCGAAAGCAGAAGGCAGGCATACCCAAAACTTAAAACATAAACAAACGCAGTTTTTTTTTCTTAAAAACCTTCAAATTCATGCAATCTACATAGCAAAAAATGTAATTTAATTTTATGTTCACTAAACGTAGGTATTTTTTTTTTGCAATTTACACAAAACTACTTTCAGTTACTTCTGTATTTTTTTATTCTATTGCAGACTCTTGCAACCTTCCTCACAAAGCTCCACGAAACTATTGTGGTTTCTTCAAACCTTTCGTGTTTCTTTTTCTTTTTAGATTTTACAGTTTATTTTGTTTTTCTTACCAACTTTTTCCGCATCCCCATTTGCTGAAATTTCCAATAAAATGCTCTGCATGTATGTTTTTTTACAGCAAAACAGAATACAAATGAAAAAAAAAATAATAAATGTACGTATTTATTGTATGTATAATAAAATTTCTTAGAGCGATGTTTAGAATTGTTGTTTACGGCTTTGTCGTGTATAATTGTATTTATGAATAAACTACATACATATACTTATAATAATACATAAAACTGAGAACAAAAATAAATGAAACATAACGCAGGCAACATTGCAACCCAGAACCTGTAAATGAATACGCATATAATTAAAAAAATAATAATAATTAGCGTACAAGAACATACATACGTGCATGTATTATAGGATTGTGAATTAAGTAAAAAAAAAAACACAGTTTCATGCTTAAATATTGTTTTTATCAAACAATAAATAAACTTTGCCAAGCCATATTTTTCTGCAATTTACAAACAATTTTACGCATTGAAGGTACAGACAATTTTTAGCTAAGTAGAAAGTATTTTTACTCAGTTACCCGAATTACTAAAACTTTCAACTAGCTTTCAGCGAGTTAAATTATTACATAAATAAATATTTCGATACGGTTTCCTATAAAACAAACACTCAAAAAAACTGGCAGAAATCAAGTCTATTAGTCTTCGAAAATCCCCTTAAAAGATAAATCTTACATAAAAGTGAAATTTTGAGACTACTACTCAAAACAGTAACCACGCAGACCTTTAGCCATTATGGCGCAGTTGAAAGACCAAATTTGTAAAGCTTACTCTCGAGCTACTTATTTAAAAACTACTTTAGCCTACTTGTACTTAAAGATTTTTTCTTATTTTTCCCTAGACTAAAACCTTTGAACCCTTAACGTTCATAATAGATAATTTCACTTGAAACTAGAAAAATTAAAATTATTATTAGTAAAAAATAATATAGCAAAATAAAAAGTATTTAAATATTTGAAAACAAATAAAAAAGTAAACAAGTTCTAAAATTATTTAGTATAAATAAATTAAATATTGCTGAAAACAAAAATTAAATACAAATTTAGTAACAAATAGTAAACACATTCACTACTTGCCCATAACAATTGGAGTTATTACAAAAACTCAGAAAATGGCGAGACTTAAGTTTAATAAATTGCAAATTTAAAACAAACAACAACAACCATTCTGGGTGTAAGCCTTTTAGTTACCAGAACAAAAAAATTATAATAATAAATAAAAGTCGTAGGTAAATAAATTCAGTGCTGATCAACTTATATTATAGTGAAGCGCAAAGAACGTATGTATGTATATTAAACAAAACCCAAACATATACATACATATGTATTAAGTTATATGTATGTATATTGGCTTGTGGAACGATTATAATGAAAACTAGACAAAATGCAAAGTGTATAAAAAAAATTGGTTAAAATTGCGCCGAAAACACACAAACAGAATAGAACAGAGAAGCACACATGAGTTTATACATATAATTATATAGTAAATGTGCCATATTTGAATGTATGTATGTAAATTAGAATGGAACGTAAATTGCATGAAAAACTCAGCAAGGCATACAAACAAAAACCGAATAGCACGAGGATAAAAGTAAAAACATAAACTAAACATGCAGCATGTAGCAAGCAAACAAGCAATGACATATACATAAATAAATATACATACATATATACAAACATACATGCGAACAAGCGTATATACAAACAAGCAAACAAACAAACAAAATACAGAGGGAAAACTAAATGTATAAAAAGAAAAAACATTTATATGAGTATATACATATATGTAGTTACATTATTATGTAGAGCTTAAACAAAACAAGGCAAAACAAAAAACAAAACAAAAACGAAACGTTAGAACCCTAAAAGCTCCCGTGCAAACAAAATGCAAATAAGAAAAGCAAAAACACAAGAAAAAACTGAATTCATAGCGGTACATGAAAACAAACAAAAAATACTAAAAACAAAAATACAAATACAACAAACAAAAAGCAAAGAAAAAAAAAACAAGAAATGATGTTACATTAATTAAATTGTTACTTTGAAAATTTAACACACATAAAACTTTCAAAAAAAGAAAAACAGCAAAAAAAAACTTGAATAAAAATTATATAAACTAAAACAAAAACTAAATGTTGTTCTTTTATTTCTCGTACTTATACTCGCACTTGGCTAATTAATTAAACTCTATCTCGCTCTCGCTCTCGCTCTCGCTCTCTCTCTCTCTCTGTCACTACCCCTCTGCATTAGCATACATAAGTACTACGCACAAACATACATATGTACATATGCGACTTTCTCCTCTCTTCTGCCCCTACTGTCACACAAACAAAATAAAGCGCACAATGCTATACTTATTTTTGCTTTCTTCACCCCTACTTTGACACTTTCATTTAGGCTGCGGTGTCTAGTGAAAAGTTCAACAGCACAACAAACAACTCTGGACTTTAAAATAATACTGGAACAAAAAATGTTTGTCATTAGTTGCATGATTTATCTTTTGTCGCTTTTTCGCTTGCACTTTACACTCTAAAAATTACTTACCGCTTCTCTAACGTCTAGAGTTTTCTCTAAAACTGTTAAATACCAATGATCGGCATACACTAATTCAGCTTAGCTTTGTTTAACCGTTGACATACACTTTTCGTTGGAGTAAATAAAAGAAAGTCTGAAATATTTTCAAAAATATTCATATATAAATACTTATCCCTCTATTTAGTTATATTGCATTCCTTCTGGTACATTTACGCAGAGAGCAGTAAGAACTGCTTAAGTTGTTTTGTATTGTTAGTGTCCAACATCAGCTACAAAGAAAGCTAAATTCGGTTGCAACTTCTACCTTGTGTGAATCTTTGTTATAAGTAAAGCACATAGTTGTTTGGAAATGAGTGAAAATAAAGATCGAATTTGCTACTTTCTTTCTGATATCCCACCGCAAAAAAAAAATAGAAATAGATTAAATTCCTGCAACGTTAATTGAAGCAGTTCTACGTCCATAACAGTCACGCCAAAAATGATTTTCTAGCTTCGCCATTAATAAAGTATACTTACAATGCCAACATGGGTGGAGAGTTGTAGTGAGATGGTAGACACAATTTAACTTTTTTAGGCCCTTTTTTTAATTCTAACGTACATTCAGTACAATTACACCATTTTGGGTACATTGCGTAGCTTTTCATAATATGTTTCCTCCTACGCAAAATGGGTTAATTATAGCAAGCAAGTGCAGGCAGATCCATGTAAGCTTAACTAGCTGACCAAGTTCCACAAACCTTATGTAGATTTGTTCTCTCCAATGCACCCAAAGAAAAATTTAAATCAAATGGAACACAAATCCCTACTGACTATAAAGCATAATAGCTTAAATCCTATCTAAAGCAATTTAGCAGAATAAAATTAAGTGTTTTAACGGAGAGAGACGGATAATATTCAGAAGTCTCAATTAACTCAATAAGGGTTCTGAATTAAGTCAGGAATTTTACATAGTTGGTTTTCGGAAATTCCGACTAAAATAAAGGGACATTGCCCAAATTATGGGGCACAACACATAAAGCTAACTTCTACAAAATATTAGGAAAATCGACGGTGCCTCTCACTATTTTAGCAACAAAAGAGGCTGCGAGAAACGATCGGCTACTATTAAATGAACTTAAATTAAAAAGTCGACAACAAAATATATATTAGGTTCCGTAAGTTTTAAATAGTTCAAGTAAAATTTAATACACATTTTTTGAATCCCTTTAAATCAGGTTAATATATAAGCATATATGGGCGCCAAATGAAAACTGCACATTCTTACCTAGATCTCAATGAAGCAACAAAAGGAAACTTCAGAGCATAGGGATCCCAAAACAACCAACCA